GTCGAGCAAAGAGGAGGTGCAGGATCAGAAGCAGCTGCTGAAGGATGCTGCTGCGTTCCTGCTGTCGTGCCAGATCCCAGGCTTGGTAAGGACTGAGGGCCAGCAGTGCTGTGCCCCTGGGAGCTTGCCTGGAGTCTGGCCTGTCCACTACACTGGTGACCTCTGGGACAGCACCTTTGCTCTGGCACGGGTGGGGGAGCACAGGGAACAGGCACAAGCCTCTTGTGCAAGGGCATGAGAGGTGTTCCATTTCCCGTCTTTCTTACATCATGGCACAATTTTCCCACCTCAACCCAAGAAATATTTTTTGGCACTGGTAATTAACAGCTATTGCTAAGAGTTTGGGACAATAGAGACCACATAAGTCATCCTCCCTAGCCCTGGGCGTCCCACACAGCTTATTGTTTTAGCTGACCCTGATTGTGACTCAATTGCTGACTAATAATTTGAAGTGAACTGGGAAATTGTTCTTAGTAATAGCTGTCATAAAAACTCCCTCCGAAGGTCCTGAGCATTTTGGATATTACCCGTGGCCCTGGCCAGATAAGAGATCCCAGTTTCTCCCTTCCTGGGATGCTCACTAAATTGATGGCTAATGCATCTGTTAGAGCAGGCACTGAAACTGGGAGGGGAGAACTCATGAGCTCCACTCCAAGAGGTCCAGGAGTGTTGGCCTTGTGTAGGAGGAAGGAGTTTTCCTTGCTGGAAAGTTTCTTTGGACTCTAAATCCACTGGTTCTATAGTCAGCATAACCTTTAAGACCAGCTCTTCAGTCTTCAAATAAAACAGGAGGGGAGTGATCCGCAAAGGGCTTGGTGATTGTGGATGACAAGGTTGTTGGTCCTCCAGCACGTAACCCCTGCACAGGGCTGTATGAAGGCAGGTGCCAGAGCAGCTGCTCCAGCAGTCAGTCCCCTGCGTATTGGAGAGGAACCGGTGTTACTGTGTGACATGAATTAAAACAACTGTTATCAGCACTGCAACACAACTTAAAATGCAAGTGCCATTTCCCCTTATCAGCTGTGTGTGCACAGGTCCACGTACTCTCTTCAGGAAGCGTTTTTAGGTAGTGGCTGTGGGGCCCTTAAAGAAGCCTCAGCCTGCTAGTTCCACAAGGACCTGTTTTGCCTCTGCTGTCAGGAGTGTGTAGTGCTGCTCCCTCCCCACTGCGATGCCAGAGTCAAACTGCCCCCAGTGGGAAGGAGCTGGCCCAGACTGGGCCACAGTCAGTTCCCCAGACCCACGTACTGGGGTGGTCTCTGGTGTCACAGCTCTCTACCCACCAAAAAACCTTGGTCAGTGTCAGCCTTCGGGGTGGCCCTCAGCCCCAGGGGACGCGGTATGTGCAGTGGCAATGGGAACCTCAGTCCTCCCCCTGCTTTAACTTTTTAACTGAAATTCTTTCATGTTTGTCCTTTGTAACCAAAGTCTGTCCATGCCCTGTAGGTCAAGGACTGCCTGGATCACACGGTGCTCCCAATGGATGGGGCGACCTTGGCTGAGGCCATGCACCAGAGGGGCATCAACATGCGCTACCTGGGCAAAGTGATCAACTTCATCACCAAAACCCCTGGCCGTGCCCAGCTGGATCACATCTTTGTAAGCATTGGCTTAACAGCAGGCTCAGTCAATCTGCCTCTGCCATTGTGTCCCCTGAGGAGATTCCCACTTGGCCACTTGTTTTCTCTGTGTAAAAATAAACAGCTTCAATAATAGAGGAGGAGGGAGAAGGACCTGTAAGTGGTGGATGGGGAGTTGTGCTCCCAAATCCTTAATGGCTTTCATAGTGTTAGGGAATTTGATTGTCCTTTGGGGTAGAGAGGTGCTTCAGGGATTCCCAAGTGTGCTGCAGGGACACAGTTGGATTTTAAGCCATGCATGTTTTTAAGCCTCCCAGTTCCATTCAGGCTTTGGATGAAGTGTTGTGAGTGTGGCTGCCTGGGAGCAGTCCCTGGAAGCACTGCTGGAGCTGTGCTGAGCAGTGCTCGTGGCTTTACTCCTGGGCACAGAGGTGCCAGGGGCTCCTCACTGGCTCTAGGAGGGCAACGTCACATGCAGAACAGTTCTGTGCTGCAGATCCTGATACAAGGCCACTTGAAAAGTGTTTTTCCATGTTCTTGCCAACTGACTCAGTCTGTTCTTTATTCCATTGGGTAGAAAATCGGCATCAGTGAATTGATCACTCGATCAGCTAAACACATCTTCAAGACGTACCTCCAGGTATGACCTGCAGTCTGACCTCTTGCCTCCCATGTCCTCTCTAACAGCCTTTTTCCACAAACAGAGCTGTGTGGGGCTCTCCTCTCGTTAGGCATTTCCTGGGGGTTGCATGGCAACGGGAAGTACAACCTCATTAGTGCTGGAATAGGTGCAGGCCTGTGTGTAAGGGAGAACAGGCTCTCACTCGAAGGAAGCTTTCCCAGAGAGGAGTCATTCATGCTTTTCCTCCCCAGATCCTCACTCATTATGTTGGAGGCTTTTAAAAGTCAAATCGCAGCTTGTTTTCCTTGTAACACCTTTTCCTCCTAAACAGTGTTGCTCTTGCCCTTCTGAGGAGCCTTTTTAATTGCCTGAATACTACATACCTTGTACCTGTCTGCACACAGCACAGCAACACACCTGGATTTGTCCTGGTGTCCAAGTCTTCTTTACACTCTCTAGTTTCTCAGTCCTAGGTAGCAGCCCAAGATGTAACTGCACAGTTGTGTGTGTAGCACACACGTACTCGTGTGTCTGCACAGATCTGTCTGTGCTAGCTCCACTTGCAGACACTGCCTTCCTCTCCCTCTGCTGGAGGGTGCTGCTGTTTCTGGTGCTCTGGAGGTTGGAGCAGTAGCTGTGTGGTGACACCCCACGACCCACTCTGGTGTCTCTGTAGGGTGTGGAGCTGTCGGGTTTATCTGCCGCCATCAGCCACTTCCTCAACTGCTTTCTGAGCTCCTTCCCAAACCCCATTGCCCATCTGCCAGCTGACGAGCTGGTCTCCAAGAAGAAGAGTAAGAAAAGGAAAAACAGGAACCTTGGAAATGCTGACAACACTGCGTGGGCCAGCATGACCCCTCAGGAGCTGTGGAAGAATATTTGTTCAGAAGCGAAGAACTACTTTGACTTCAGTCTTGAGTGGTAAGTGCAGCAGGTGACCCTGGCTGTGCCTGGACTCACCAGAGGTCTGCAGCTCCTCTTCTTTAACAGGACCTCCTTTTCTGGCTTGTTTTCTGTTTGAATAAAACTTGTGCTCTTGAGGGACTTTTGCAGGTTTATAAATGGAAAGAAATTGGGCAAAGACCAGCAGGGGGAAGTGTAAGTGAAATTTGGAATGAGGTGAAACCTGTGAGGCAAAGGCAGTCAGGAAAAACAGAGGAGGAAGGGAAACCTCTCCTGAGGATGCTGGAGGGGAGCAGAAGGTCAGAAACTGAAGTAGAACAGTCAAAAGACATTTGTCTGTATTGATGATGATTTAGTCTAAGGGACATGTTCTAAAAACAAGGACAGCTGCTCCTGTCTCTGGGCAGGGGTGGGCAGTGAGGCTGCTGGAAGGGGCACACCGTGGGCGTTGAACTGGAGGCACCATCAGAGTGGTATGAGAGAAAGCTGTGGCTGGTTGGATAAGTGACCATCCCTTCCCGCCAGGGATGGCTCGCCCTCGCCAGGAGCTGCAGGCACTCAGCCCACGGGTTGTGGTGAGCTGTTGTGAGCAGAACTCGTGCAGGGTCTCGCTGAAGGCACCGCTGTGCTCTGGGCTGTCACAGGCCATGGGAACCTCTGCAGTGGTAGTCACTGGCTTCAGTTAGCCCCTGGTTGCACAGGGACCTGTGCCTCAGGTACCCATGTTCGAGGGATGTCCTTGAGCAGAAACTCCCCCAAGGCTGAAGCCTGTGTGTGCTTTTTGCAGTGAGAATGCTGACCAAGCAGCAGAAGTGTATAATCTACAGAAAATCACCCTGCTCCGTGAAATCTCCCTCAAAACTGGAGTCCAGGTAAGACCCACACCCTCCCTCCCTTCCCAGCGTGTTCTGCGCTGAGGAGCGTGAAGAGTTCAGTGTGCCGTGCTTCACTTTTCTTGCCTGGTACCTGTGGGAGTGCTGACCATGCCCTCTGCTCTTTT